TTGACTGTCTCACCCAGCTTTCTGCCTGTGAGATTAATATAGGATCACAGAGTGGTTGAGGTGCCAGGGAGCTTTTGGAAATGATGTAATGTAACTCCATCCTCAGTTAAATAGGACCAGCTATATCAGGTTTCATATGACTGTGTTCACTCAGGTTTTGATTACTTCTATGGATGGAGAGTCCACAGCTCCTCTTGGCAACCTTTTCTCATGCTTGACCACTCTTATAATGAACGCGTGTACTCGTTTTTATGTGTAGAATTTCTTGTGATTCAGTTTATCCCTGTTGACTCTTTTCTAGTCAGTGTGCACTGCTGAAAGTCTGACATGCTTTCATCCCATGTTGAACAATCTTTTGTTTACATGTATTGATTAGGTTTTACCCCACCTTAAGCAGGGCTTCTCTTCAGGCTGTAAGCAGTCCCATCTCTCCTTATATGACAAATGCTGTCATCTTTGCATCCTGTGTTCGGTCTTGTGTCATGGACATATTTTATGAAAATCCTTTTGCTAGGATTTTTTCTCCTGAGAAGCTGAGAGACCTCAGAAACGAAATGTAAACAATAATTATTTGCTGCTGTGGAATGCACCAGGTGCATCTTCAATTGGTCTCATGTGGTTGTTTTTAATTAATGGCCAGTCACAGTCCAGCTGTCTCAGACTCTGGTCAGTCACAAGATTTTTAGTATTCATTCCTTTCCTTTGAAGCCTTCTGATGAAATCCTTTCTTCTATTCTTTTAATAAGTTTTAATATATAATTTTCTTTTAAAATAATATATATCATGAAATAATAAATCAGCCTTCTGAAACATGGAGTCAAGATTCTCATCTCTTCCCTTTATCCTGGGACCCCTGTGAACACCACCACAGTCTTGTGCTGTATGTCCCTGTCTCTTACACAGTTGGACTCCACCTGTGTGCTGCGTCTACTGCTGCTACCTGGTAAGGGTCCACCTCTGGAAATGGCTTGAGGCTGTTTTTACTGACGGCTTTGCACACCTGAAAATATGTTTCTTTAGGATGTGATCTCAAAATCTAAAGTAGGCTTAAATTGTTAGTTAAGTTAATAAGCTAAAGTAAAATGTACTAATTTATGTGAAATTACCCTATAATTCCCATAAGGAATTTCCTATATAATTTTCTCAGAAAGAATAATTATCTTTCATGTTTTCCTTAAGTCATAAGTTTCACGGCTTGGTGTGTGTCATGTTCCACTGTGGGGAACTGTTGGGAGTTCTTAGAAAAACAGGTGGTCTAGGATGAAAATAAGTCAAACGAGACAGTATTGTATCTGAAAACTGTTTATTGGTAACAAAAAAAGAGGGAGTTGATTTACTAAAGAGGACTAGAAAAGACAGAAAAAGGAGGAAGGAAGATGAAAAATAATGGGGGGAAAGAGGAGACAGAGAGGAAAATTGGGCATTAGCAGCCGAAGTCAGGGAGTGCCGCCGACGGCCCGGTGTCAGGGAGCGAGTGCCCGCTGGCTGCCGGGGAGCCTGCGCAGCCCTTGGAGAGGCCCAGCTCCACAGGCACAGCTCCCCCGGCCACGGGCAGCCGGACCCCAGGTGAGTGAGGGAGGGGGCGCTCGGGCGGGGGGTCCGGAATGCTGGACAGGTGGCGGTGGGGATCATGGTGGCAGGCTGCACCGGCGAAGCAGGGCTAGAGGCAGGCAGGAACGCAGGAACGAAGCAGGCAGGGCGTCGGTCAGAACACAGGGAGGCTGGACAGGCGGCGGCTGGGACAGGCGAGGAGTGGGGCGGGACACAGGCTGCACACAAGGCTCGGAGGTCAGCCAGAGTCCTGCCAAATGCCCAGCGAGAGTAAGGGCCAGCAAGGGCGAAGAGCCAAAAGGCAGGCTGGAGCCAGGGCAAAAAGGACAAAAACAGGCTAGGGCCAGAGTAATACGCAGACCTCAAGCCTGGGCAAAAAGGTAAGACCAAATGCCCCAACATAGAAAGCCCTGGCTCAAAAAGGCCAGAGTCAAAAAAGCCCCAGAGCTTGTGCCTCGGTTATTTTTATGCTCCCTGTCTCCTCCCATCATCTGCCTGCTGACAGGAGACCACTGGCACGATGTTCCAATGTTTGACTGCAGTCCATTGGTGGAGACCTTTTTCCGTCTGTTGGAGAGCCCCTCTGGAGAGTGCAGTGTCCTGGGTGGTCTGCTGCCTGCTTGTCCCATGTGGGACATGAAATCTTTGCCAGGCGAAGTAACCCCAGAGACAAGGCTTTCTCCTGTCTTCTAGTTGCCTCCTGCAAGCAGCACATGTGCAACGCCTCCCCCACATGCCTCTGACAACAAGTGTTGAAACAGAAATCAAGATTAAATTGGGTCCTCACAGTAACATTTAAAATGCTTGGAAAAATCCATCACCTTGTATGCTTATCCATGCTTAGAGTTCCTAAGTCGATTACAGATTACAGTCCCTCTCAGCAAAAAAGTCCTTAGGTCAATGCAACATAAAATTGTTTAGAAATTATTCTCATAGAACCCCAAGTAATTTAGGAAGATTAGAAAGTTTAAGACTTAATGTTGTAAAAAAGACCAGAGGTCAGTCAGCACAGTAAGATGACTTATGGAGACATATACCCAACTCAGAAAAAATTGCTTGACATTAGCTGTTTATTCAAAAGGAAAACACTTCCTGAGGTACAAACATGAAGTGCTAGTTACCTAGTACCTAGCCCTTCTCGTAGCCTGAGAGTCAGTTTCAGGATTCAGATTTCGTAAGAAATCTGGATAACTGTTCCACATGTGAATGAGATATCAAGACTTATTTTGGAAGGCATCAAATGAATAAGCATACCTAAAAAACCAAATAAAATTAAATTAAAGACATTTAATTCAGATGGATTAAACAGTTAGTTTGTGACTGGTGACTTCGTATTGCCCACTTCTAGAAGTTAAAAAGGAAATGTCAGGCCCTGAGAACTGTTCCAATTGTCTATATCAAGGCATGTGTCAGATTTAAAATGCATGTGTTGGACCTTGGTCACCTTGGCACATGCCCATTGCCAACTCATAACTCTCTTAATTCACTGCTAAGAAACAAAATTCAATCTAAATCCCTGCCTACCTTATTTACCTAAAGTTATCTAATAAATCCAGATAGTGCAGAGTTCAGGTCAGAGCATGTATGAAACACAAACAAAATCATTTTATAGTAACAAAGCCATCATGTCACATGTAAGAATTTGATTTCTAAGTTCATTTGAACATGAAGTAAGCTCAATCCATTTCCAGTTGCAGAGAAATCCTCTAGGGTGCAAAATGAGTAGATCACTCTCCAAGTTTTTGTTTGAAACTGAGCCACTTCACAGAAAGATAGGCATAACCCTAGTGCTAAAAGTGAACAAGCCAGACTGATAGCTAGGGGGGGCAAATAAGTCCCCACTCATCCACTCACTGAATAACTCACTCACTCTGTCTCAGCATGAATGGGGAGAAGCAAGAAGGGCAAATGTTGGAGAACTTGTGAATCAAGGGACTGCTTAATAAATAAAAGGGAAAAAAACCCCAGCCCTCAAGTGACACAAGAGCAATCACTTACCACCAGCACACTGATGCCCAAACCGTCCCCGGGCAATAGTTATTTAACAAAAACTTCCACTCCAGTTTCATTGGTGAACAAGACCTGACATATAAAATATCGCTTTGATGAGCTTAGGTCAGCTGTCATGGTTGTGCAATCTCCCGGGCTCTTGCTCAGACCCAGCTTACTTCCTGGTGGGACCACAATAAGAAACAGAGGTGTTGTCCAAGTGCTGTTCAGCAGTAGCTAAAACATTGGTGTATTACCAGCATTGTTTTGGTGACAGATACAAAATATAAAAAGCTGTAGGGTGTTATGAAGAATATTTACTGCATCCCAACCAGATCCAGTACACCCATTCTCAATTAATAACTGTCTACAAACTTCTTGGAGACCTCAGTCAGGGCCTACAGTCATGCTTCCAGTGCTATTCATCACCATCTATATACACAGGCTGAGAACACAGGCAGTGTGTGTCCTGTCCTACAAAGATATTCCTCTGGACAGGCTTATGGATATTCCTGTGGACAGCTCTATAAACTTCTGAAAGTGTGGCAAATAAAAATAAAGATCCTTTCTTTTCACTTTTGTTCACTGAAAAGCACTCTGGGAATGTTTCAGCTGCAGGCTGGAGAGTCATTTGATCATCACCTTGTGTGTGAGGCAGTGATTAGCTGGGGAGATGCATCGGCACCATATGAACAGAGAGATGATTGGATAAAGGGACGTGTGAATAATGATACTGCAGGAGCAGGCAGCCAGTGAGCGCTTCTTTCAGATAAGTTTAGAATATAGAAAGACTCAGTTTCTTACACTAAATGATCTTCTTCCAAGCAGCATGGAAGTCCATGGTGTCTTTGATCCCCATTGCTGTGACCGTGGTCACAGGCGTTTTCAGGTGAAAGGAGAGATGAGAATGTTGACACCATGTTCACAAGGCTAGATTTATTATTTTATGATATATATATTACGTTATAACTATACTAAAAAGAAAAAGAAGGAAAAGGTTCCTCAGAAGCTAGCTAAGCTAAGAATAGAAAAAGAAAAGAATGAAAAAAAAAGGCAGCTCTCTTGGACTCTGTCTGAGATAGCTCTGTCTTGATTGGCCATTAATTATAAACATCCAAGAGGGGCCAATCACAGGTGGACCTGTTGCATTCCACAGCAGCAGATAATAATTGTTTATATTTTGTTGCTGAAACTGCAGCTTCTCAGAATGAAAAATCCTAAGAAAGGATTTTGCATAAAAGATGTTTGTGATACATTGTGTTGTAGTGTGTTTGTTAAGTTCCTTATATTACTCCCCCCATTTTATGTATTGTTTCCCCCTGTTTAATGTAAATGGTTCTGCCCTCCCAGTTCTCCTGCCATAGCTCTACCCCTTATGTTACTGTGGTTACCCCTGCCCTTGGTAAGTCTGTTACCTAAGTTATATAATTTCTCCTCCCCTGATCTCCTTATAAGTAAACTTTTCCTCCTCCCTGGGCCCAGTCAATCACCCCCCACTCCTCCTAGCTTTCCAGAATCTTCTTCCCTCTGGGGGTTGTGGTTGGCTGTGGTCCTGGGGCCCCTCCTTTACTTTGTATTTATTGGGTTCCCCTTTATGTCAGTTAAGTTCATCCCTTCACCCTTCCCCATTGGTTCCCTGTAAACCCCTCCTTTGTACACCCTCCCACTTTATAACCCTGTTTCACCCCCATTTCGGGGTCACTCCCTGGATGGTGTCTTTATTGTTTTCAATAAACCTGACTTCACCCCCAGTGAGTGTCCAGCTCCTTTCCTCGTCCACTTCCGCAGTGAGAGCCTGTCCGCAGCCAGCACCACCCAAGGCCATCCGATGCCGAGGGGTGCTGGCAGGGAATTGCAGCTGGGTGTCAGCCCATAACCCTCTGCTAGCCGGACACTGACCCTTTGGGCCACGTACGCCTCGCCGCAGTTTGGCACCCAACGTGGGGCCCTGAGTGGACAACTGGCCAAGTGGACGCCAGACCACTGGACCCCGCGGACAGGATTTTATAATTCTACTGGCCGCTGAACTACCCCCAGTAGTAGCAGACCCTGTTCTAGGGGTAGTGCTCCCGGGGGATCAGAAGTCACAACTCCCCGCACCTGAGGAGGACTTCTGGGATGAGAACCACCGGCCAGGTTTTTGTTTGTGCCACCACCGGACCAGGTAAGCCCCAGACTTAGTGGCTTCCCCCCTGTCTTTTTAATCCTCCCTAGGAGTCCATGCCCTGCTTTGGGGACCACTCCCTACCCTTTCTCCTTTGAGGGCTGATCCCTAGGCACTTCCTTGGGGCACAGTCCTCACCCCTATCGTTTTTTGTTTTCCCTTTCCTATGGGGTCTGCTTCCCCAGACTTGGGGACAGTGGGTGGAGCAGGGGCCGGCGGCGTGCATCTCAGTGTTTTAGTTTTCATTTTTCCTTGGGTGGGTGGTGTAACACCGAGAGTTTTGCTCCCTTTAAGTTGGGTTGTCTAGCTCACCTTATGGGTACCATGGGTGCTGGCTTGAGCAAAACTCAAAAAGGAGTCTATTATGTTGTTAAAGGTGTGCTGCTTGGGGGAGGGTTTGCTGCCCCCAAGAGAGAGTTAAAAATGTTAATCAAATGGGTTTTTTCTCATTTCCCCGAAGTTTCCCCGGAAATTGCAAAAGAGCCACGTTTTTGGGCAGCCGTTGTGGCCAAATTAGATCAAGAAGTTAACTCTGGGGAAACTCAGTTATCAAACGTGGCATTTTGGGCTAGCAAGGTATTAACTTCGCGACACCCGGCCGGGGATTTAAGAAAAAGTCCTTCTCGATCGAGTTTGTTCCCCAGTTCTCCCAGTTCTCATGTCCCTACCCCTCGTTCCTCTCCGCCCTCTCGGGGGATCCTTAGGGCCACCAAGAAGCAGGGGGTCCACCCTGCCCCTGCTCCCTCGCGACCGGCTCAGCCACTCCCTCCAAAGAGCCCTGGCCAAGCTCTCTAGAGTTCCCTTCCTGATCCCTTTGTCCCTGTCCCCAAGTCCCCAGTTTCGGTCCCCAAAATTGTTCATTTATTGAAAATTCCTAAGATGGCTCCCAGGGAGCCCAAAATGGATATGGCCATATGATTTTTCCCCCCCTTACCCCTTCTTCTTCCCAGAATCCCTTTCTTCCCAAGTCCAACCCTTTCCTCTCCCTTGACCCGTCCCATTACTCGGTTTCTCTGCCCCTGGTTCCACCCTTGGTTCCTCCCTCAGCTCTTCCCCTTGCTCCGCCCATGGTTCCACCCCCTATGGGCCCCTCCCAAATCCCTCCTCTTTATTCCGCTCTGCCTCCTAACTCCGCCTTGGAGGCGGAGAAAACAGAGTCACCACGCCCCTGCCATTGCTCAGCCCACAAACCAAGCCCCGCCTCTACCTCCTCCAATTCCAGTTCCCACGCTCTCCCGGTTGCCATGCTTTGTGTTCCGGGGGTAGGGGGGTGGATGACCGGAAGCCGGGACAGGTGCCTATATTGGAAGCCGCTCCAGTTACATACCGCCTCAGTGGGGAGGGGAGTGCTCAGGCCCAATGGGCGCCTCTAGCCCAGGCCCGGATCAAGGAACTGTGCAAGGCCCAGAGGGAGTATTCCCGGGAATCTGAGTATTTCCGGGGGCTCCTTCGCCCGGTCCTTGCGCAGGGAGATCTGGTGCCCGCGGACCTGAGGGCTCTCTTCTCTAGCCTTTTAGGGCCTGTGGAATTCAGGGTCTGGGCGGGAGAATGGAGGAGGGAGGTTGTGGAGGTTCTCCCAATGCTTTGGGGGAATCCCTCCATGACGCATGATACGGACTGCTTGGTAATTTTGGAGGACCATCTTGTGGGCACTGGGCAGTGGGCAAGCGGGGTAGCTCAGGCAAAGGCTATGTTCACTGAACAACTTATAGAAACGGGGAAGGCTGCGGGGCGTGCCTTTTGTAAACTAGCCACCACAACCTCACAACTGGAAGAAGAGGAAATAAGGCAGGGCGCGCAGGAACCTTACCTGGCGTTTATGGAAAGACTGTACCGATTCGTGGAGGCGCAGGTTCTGGGGGAGAGGGAGAGAGAGGAGATGTTAAGGCAGATGGCCTATTACAACGCCAACATAGCGTGCAGGAGGGCCATCTGATCTCTCCCTCGAAACCCCCGACCTACCGTGGAACAGATGATCATAGTATGCGCTGGGGAGGTTCCTCTACAAGATCAGAGAGCGCACCCCAAAAGAGCCTCTGCAGCCTTCACGGAATACCCGATGCAAGAGGCCATAGACGCCGAAGCTGCCGCCGCCACCGGACCAATGACACTGGGGTCCGGGAGAAGGACGGCGGCGACTCACCCCTGCCACCTCTGTGGCAAAGTGGGGCACTGGATGCCCCAGTGCCCCATGAGACAAGATTATCTGGAGTATAGGAGGAGGAGAGAAGAGAAGAGAAAGAAAGGGAGCCAAAAAACTAACTCAAGAGGGCAGCCGCTCCCCGCGCCAAGACAAAAATGAGGTGGGACAAGTAACATCTAGCGGGGAGGGAGGAGAAAAGGGGAGCCCGCCATCCATGCTACCGGACTTGACATATCTAAAACCTGACACGACTTTCAGCACCTGTGAAACACAGCTTCAACCTGCTCTAACTGCTTTGTCCTCTGCTTCCCCTTATAGGCTGCAGCTAACTAGGGAAGTTCATCTCCCTAACAGTGACTTTCAGCTGGTGTCTCCCGACCTTCAACATCCCAGTTGCTGGAGGAAGTTAGGACGTTGCAGGTAGACCATTGTCGGAGACACAAAGCACACGCCGCGAGACCTTTACATTGTCCTGGGGTTGGTCACTACGGACCGGGACAGTTTCGCGGTAGGGCTGTACTGTGTCCGACCCCCACTCTTCCTCCCTAAGGGTCAGATCATCGTCCAGGCCATCCCAGTGCCGGTGAAGACACACTGGACGGAAACATCTAAGGACACATCACCTCCTACAGTGGTCTGGGTACAAGTAGTGGGGAGGGAGAAACCCTGCCTAACACGTCAGCTCTCGTTGGGCGGGGATCGTAAGATCGTAAGGGGTCTTTTGGACACGGGGGCGGATGTGACGATCATTCCCTCTCAACGTTGGGGCCTGCAAAACGCGGCAGGAACGATTCAAGGTGTAGGAGGGCTCCAATTGGCAAAGCAGTCCAAGAGCATTGTGCAAATTATGGGACCAGATGGGCAATTGGCTTCTGTACGCCTGTTCATATTGGACTACACCGAGCCTCTCTGGGGGAGAGACCTTTTAGCCCAGTGGGGAGCCAAAATTGACCTACCAAAGGCTCCCCAGGTTTTTTGGGCAGTGGCCACTGAGGAGCGCCTGAACTGGAAGCTGGAATGGCGGTCAGATAAACCAGTACGGGTCTTGCAGTGGCCACTTAATAAACAAAAATTAAAGGCGCTCAATGAGCTCGTTCAGGAGCAGTTGCTTAAGGGCAATATCAAGGAGACCATGTCACCGTGGAACTCCCCAGTATTTGTCATTAAGAAGCACAATAAGGACAAGTGGCGGCTCCTGACCGACCTCCGCCAAATTAATGAAAGAATTGTAGATATGGGGTCTCTCCAACCAGGGATGCCCTCCCCAGCAATGCTCCCCCAAAATTGGAATTTGGCCATTGTATAAATCAAAGATTGTTTCTTTCAAATTCCTCTGCACCCTCATGATGCCCCGCGTTTCGTGTTCACGGTTCCCGCCATTAACCGTGAGGCCCCAGACAAGCGCTACCACTGGTGGGTCCTTCCACAAGGAATGAAGAACTCGCCTGTGATCTGCCAGTGGTATGTCACTTCTCTGCTGTCCCCAGTACATACAGCCCTCAGGGATGCCGTCATCATCCATCATTATATGGACGACATCCTCGTGTGTGCACCCGACAATGATCTACTTGCCCATGTGCTTGACCTGACTACCAATGCGTTGGTTGCTGCAGGGTTCAAGCTCCAGCAAGACAAAATTCAAAGGATGCCACCTTGGAGGTATCTGGATCTTGAGATTTCCAAGCGGACCATTGTGCCGCAAAAATTGGCAATATGGACTGAAGTCCAGACCCTAGCGGGTGTCCATCAACTGTGTGGGTCTTTAAATTGGGTGAGACCCTGGCTGGGCATTCCCACCAAAGACCTGGCCCCCCTTTTCAATTTACTGAAAGGGGGAGAGGGGCTTAGTTCCCCTAGGGCTCTCACCCCGGAGGCTCAGGTAGCATTGGAGAAAATTCAAAAAGCTATTTCGGCCAGGCAGGCCCACTGCTACCATCCGGGCCTGCCGTTCAAATTTATTATACTGGGAAAGTTGCCGCACCTCCATGGCATAATCCACCAGTGGGACAAGACCCTGAAGGACCAACGTAGGTGATGGGGGTCACGCACGGTAGGGACGGATGGTGATGAGATCTCTTTGAAGCCAAGTCATGAAACTATTGGATTATTACAAAGGGCATGGGTGAAGGGCCCTGTTGCGAGCTACCAGCCGCAGCTCAAAGCAGGGCCCAGAGAGGAGAGGCTTAAAGTGTAAGAGAGTCAACGGCAAAGGTTTAAGAGTGGAGAGCATGTAGAAAGGAGGGGTGAAGAAGTGCAGAGGGAAGACAAAGAGACAAAGAGAGAAAAGGGCACGAAGAAGAGCGCGAGAGCGGGCAAAGAGATAAGGGAGACAAGAGATAAGAGAGCGCGGAGAGCAAGCGAAAAGAGAGGAAAAAGAGAGAGCAAAAAAAGAGCGAAGCTCCCGTTACAACACAGTAAATCATCTTCAGTGGTGAATATGCAGGTTCTCATTAACCAATCTACTACAGCATGCATATCTTATAACATTTCCACACAACCTATAAGAATCACTACATTACCATACTGTGTTTACATGTTAAACCCTAAATCTTATTCTTTGGGCCCCATCTGCCAAGCTGCAAAGCCTGCTCTGACTCTTAGGCCTGCCTGCTTGCAGAGGGAATTGTTTCCTCCAGGGGGGATTACATTCAACTGGTCACAACTAAGGTATCTCAAAGGTTGCTTTCATTTCAATCTCACATATAGTTTCTATAGTCTCAAAATCTTCTGCCAGGCAGTCATATTTAAAAGGCTTTCTTGTTTCATCCTCCCCAACAGACCAAGGCTTGGGAGACAAACTCTTAATCATAGAGTGGGTCTTTCTGAGTCACCACCGGTCCAAAAGAATGACAAGGCCACTGGAGCTGGTTGCCAAACTGATCCGCAAGGCGAGATCACGGATCAGGGAGCTGGCAGGATGTGACTTTGAGTGCATACACATACCACTTGAATTGGAGTTGGGCCACCTAAAAATGAAGATCTTCAATGAACTGCTGCAAACTAATGAGAACCTTTAGTTTGCGTTGGACGGCTACACTGGGCGTATTGCAGTTAATTGGCCGGCCCACAAATTATTCAATTCGGAGTTTAAATTATCCTTAAAGAAGGTCCAAAGCAAGATTCCTCTTGATGCCGTGACTGTTTTTACAGATGCGTCTGGAGCATCCCACAAGTCAGTCATGACTTGGAAGGATCCTCAGACTCAGCGGTGGGAGACAGAAGTTGCTGTTGTAGAGGGTTCTCCACAAATCGCTGAGTTGGACGCAGTCGTCAGGGCATTTCAGAGGTTCCCAGGACCTTTCAATCTGGTTACAGATTCTGCGTATGTGGCCAGTGTAGTGTCCAGAGCAGAATCAGCAGTTCTGCAGGAGGTCTCCAATCAGAAATTATTTAATTTACTTACAAGGCTCGTTGATTTGGTCTCCCACCGCGAGCATCCTTTCTATGCACTTGAGGTCACACACTGACCTGCCAGGATTCATCGCTGAGGGCAACCGTCAGGCCGATTCTTTGGCCGCGGCTGCAGCCACGGTGGGCCCACTCCCAGACGTGTTCGGCCAGGCTAAGATCAGCCAGCTTTTTCACCAGAACGCGCCTGGCCTGGTCCGGCAATTCCACCTGACCCAGGAACAGGCTAAGGCGATCGTGGCCACATGTCCCCAGTGCCAAAAAGATCAAATGCCTACCATTTCCTCGGGGACAAATCCCCAAGGTTTGGTGAGCTGCGAGGTGTGGCAGATGGACGTAACGCAGTCTCGTCTTTCGGTAGATTGTGTTATGTCCACGTCTCGGTGGACACCTTCTCCAGTGCTATCTTCGCCTCTGCCCTCACAGGTGAGAAGGCCGCAGATGTCCAGAAGTGTTGCAGACATTTTTTCATAGAGGTCCTTTTGTGGGATTTGTTCGTCTTCTGGGGGTCTGGAGCCCCAGAGGAAGAATGTGGACAGTTGCTGTCGGCTGCTGTGGGGTGTAGTGGGTGCCTCTGTGATTGGTTCATGTTCCGTGCTTGTAGTTGGGGACCAGGCTCGGGGACGGATTCCCTGGACACAGAACTTTGTTGTTCATCTTTTCTATTCTATTCTTAGGTTAGCAGCCTCTGCAACTTCTCTCCTTATTCTTTTTAGTATAGTTATAATGTATTATATATCATATATCAATTAATCCAGGCTTCTGATCATCAACTAAGATTCTCATCCTTCTCTCACCATGGAGACCTTATCAGGTCGCTGTAATATCTGGTGACCCCTCGTGTCAGAGCAAAAATTAATTTGATAAGACTAGACGAGCAAATTTCTGCACTGGGTAAAATCCTGTATGTGTAGCATGTGATGGTTGCTTTGTAGTGACCACAGAAGTGGATTCAAGCCAGGAGCTGAAGAACTGAAGATCCCGATTTGGACAGAGCTCACAGCCAAGGCGGACCACAAGTGGACCTTCTTCTGGAAAACCTTCAGGAAAGATGTTCAGAAAGAGCAGCAGAACCGTGGAATGAGCCAGAGCTTGCTGGACTGCTTCAAAAGATACTGTTGGCTTTTCTATCCCTGAGGATTCGTAGTTTGTGGTTGTTCATATGGGGGACACGCCCCTTGGAGGAAGAGGTTCTTTTTTCTCCTTCAGAGGAAAAACTTATTGCCCTCTGGCAAAAATGGTATAGAGAGGACGGATTTTTTTTTGTCAAAAACAGATTTCTATGAGTTTTTTCAATGGGCAAAGCTTTTTGGATTCTTTACTGATGTCCTATACGCCTTGGATGTTTTCGTGTGGGAATGCATGGACTCTTATTTTCTGATTCGTTTGGGGTCAGGGTTGCGACTTCCCTCCTGTCTACCCAGCATTTAGAAAGCTCTTCCCAGTTTTGAAACGGAAAGCAGCTGTTTTTCCCTGGATTTGTAACTGCTATGGGCTGGCTCCTTTTCCCCCATCCCCAGCGGGAGAAGACCCAGTGGGGGACGACATTCTGCTTTCCAGCCCCCCCTGCTTCCCGGCGGGGGGTGGGGGTGAAACTTCGCCACGCGAAGAAGTTTTTTTCACTCTTTCTCCGGGACATGCACGGGGGAAGGGGAGTGGACGGGCCTGCCACAGTCGGCCTCTCGGACCCCGCCCCGCTCAGAGATGGGGGTGGCACCGGTCCCCGCGGCTCCCCCGCTTGCCAGGCCCTGCGGCCCGCCCCGCCGGCGCGGCCGCCTCTCCGGGCGATCCCGTCTCCGCCTCTCCAGGCAGTCCCGCCCGCGGCTTCACCGGCTTCCCCGCCTGCATCTGAGAACGCAGAAACAGCGCTTCCTGTGCCTGCTGAGTCACTGTTGCTAGGCGACAACAACGCGTCTCCAGCTTCCGGCTCAGCAGAGGAGGAGTTCTCTCCAGCCCCTTTGGCCCCCCCCACCGCTTTCACCGGCCTTCCCGCCGCCTCAAGCTGAGACGGTCCCTGTTCAGGATGGTGCTGAGACGGCGCTGAACCTGCAGGACTCTCGGAGCAGCCCGCGGCTGCTCCTACACACAGCGTGATTTCCTCCCCGGCTCCAGCCCCCCCACCGCTTGCACCGGCTGCCCCAGCAGTTCTGCCACTGTCGGAGACTCTGTCCTCCGTGTCGGCGTCAGAGACTGCCCTGGAAATGGCTGTTTGTTTGAGCTCGGACCATCCCGGACCCGTTGATTCTGTAGCAGTGGCTCCGGCAGCTGGTGTCTCCTTCCGTGCAGCGGGGAGTGCTCGCCAGCTGACTGTGGGGGCAGCTCGCCTGCCTGCTTTCAAGATCAGCATTCTCAGCGGGTTGGGGGGTGGTTTTTCGGGGATTGTCGCATGGAGGCTGTCATCTCTGCCGCCTCTCTTGCGCCCTAGCGGCGGGGGGCAGGTGGGTCCCGAAAGCTCTGCCTTTGGTCCCCAGCCCAGTGGGCATGATGCCATGGGGCAGATGGGAGATACACCTGATGCATTTGTATTGCAGAGGGAGAGGGCAAAGATGGAGGAGACCATGGCTGGTTTGCTGTGGGAAACAAACACCTCCAGACCCCAGATGGGATTTCTGGGGAAGGCCTCTATTTCCCTGCTGCTGGCATGCCTCAGTGGTTTTGGGGAAAGGAAGTGTGTCACCACCCGTGCTGCCATTGTACTGGCAGTGGGGTGCAGGCCTGTGGGAATGCAGAGCCTGTATCATGGGTTTGGGCCAGGGCCATCACTTGGCCTCCTGATGCTTCTGGGGGTTGTGGTTTCTCCTACTGGTCCTGGCCCCACTTTGTGGGCCAGTTTTGGGGATTCCTGGTCCATCATGGGCCAGGGTCCCCAGGGCCTTTCCTTTTCTGGCACTGCTCTGCTCTGCTGCTGCTCTTTTCAATCAAAAACAAAAAAAATTTAAATTAAATAAAAAAGATTGAAAATAGCAGGCAGCAGCTCTGAAGCAGTGAAGCAATTGAAGGGCCAGAAAAGGACATTCCAAAAATTGTTCAAATTGTTTGAAATTGTTTGAAATTGTTGTAAGACTGTCAATAGCTTTTGATAACTATTGATGGACTTTTTGCAGCAAGTCTGTTTCAGGACCAAAAAGGACTCTCAGATATGTCCAAAAGGAACAACTTCAGCTCATGGATTGTTCCTGAAACTCAGCTGCTTGGACTTGAATTTTCTTTGCATTGTTTTTTGCATTTTCTTAGATTGTAGGATTGTTTTAGTGATTTGTTAGTATTGTATATTTTACAGGTGAAGAAATTTCCTGTTCATTTCACATCAGCATTTTTCTTTTAATTTATATAATTTGGAAAGGTCAGATGTCAGACATTTTTTCACAGAAATCCTTTCTTTGGGATTTGTTCATCTTCTGGGAAGCTGAGGCCCCAGGAGAAGAATGTAAATAATTGTTATTGGCTGCTGTGAAATGTAGCAGGTTGCCCCTGTGGTTGGCTCATGTTCTATGTTACAATTAAGGGCCAATCACAGGGCAAGCTCTCTGGAACACAGTGACAGAGAACTCTCTTGTTTTTAGATTCCATTCTATTCTTAGCTTAGCAAGCCTCTGCAACTTGTCTCTCCATTCCTTTTAGCATAGTCGTAATGCATTATGTATCATATATCAATAAATCCAGCCTTCTGATCATGAACCAAGATTCTCGTCTCTCTCTCACCCTGAAGACCCTCATCAGGTCGCTGTAATAGATACGTATAGGAATTCGTGTGTTATAACCTTGTTTCCAAAACACAAAATCTAGGGGTTGCAAGAATGGCCATTTTTCCTCTTTCCCTGTACCTCTGACTATTGTTTCCTTGTCCCCAGTTTGTCCTTGCAAATCATTCAATACAGAAAAAGTAGCTCGCATATCTATTAGAAATCTGACCTCTTTATGCCCTAACTGTATATTTACAACAGGTTCCTTAACTTGTTTTACTGGTTCTATGTCTAGTCAGCTGGTATACTCCCCCAGGACCATCTCCTTGGTAACCTATTGGAACTGATTGTCCTGGTGAAACCAGTTATTCAAGTCTGGACAGTTTTGCTTTCAATGGCCCTCCTGCTTGCAATATGCACATTGATTCAAGCTTAACCTTTGCGTGACTGGTCTCCTTCCTCGAATATTCCTGTTATGTCCCCTGAAATTTGGGTTCCCTTCTCCTTGTATTACTGCCAATAGATTCTGCTGCTGCGTTTTACTAGCTTCTTTTTCACGATTGTTATATACCTTCCAAGCAACCTCAAGTAGCTTATCCAAATTCCTTTGTTCTTCCCCTTCTAATTTTTGCAATTTTCTACAAATGTTGTCCTGTGATTGGCCCAAGAATATGAGAGCAAGCTGAACCTTTGCTTGTTCTGTGTTTATTTGGAGATCTGTATATTTCCTTGCTATCTCCTTAAGCCTCTCCAAAAACACGGTGGGAGATTCCTTCTTTTCCTGTCGAACCTCATATAGTTTGGACCAATTTATAGTTTTGGGCACAGCGTTCTGAACTCCTGTTTGGATCCACTCTTGATATTTCCCTAATTTCCCTAATATATCGCAAAATAAATTAGGGTCCCAATTTGGATCCTCAATTGGGAAATTCGCATCTAAATTCCCTGTTACTAGCCCATTTCTGATATCCTCTCTTGCTCTCTCTTTGGCTGCCTTAAGTACCATCTCTTTCTCAGTAGAATCCATCAAAGTATCTGATACCATTTGTATGTCGTCCCAGTCAGGATTTTGAGTTTTTATAACCATTTTTACTACTCGTGCCATTTTATCAGGATTTTCTCTATAAGTTCTGACTGACTGTTTCCAAATAACTAAATTTGCAGGGGAAAAAGGCACTTTTACAAATACTGGCCCTTCCCCTATACACCTTGCTGCAAGGGGGCAACCACAGTCCGTTTTTGTCTGCCTTTATCTTTTTTAGACTGACTCCTGGTTCTGTGGGCTATTGGGGTCACTGATTCATAACCATTGCTATCTGTTTCACTGGCATCCCTCTTTCTCCTTTCTATCACAGTTAGGTTTTGCTCATCTTCTGAGTAAGAGTTATCAGGTGACAGTGGGAGAGGAGGATAAAGAGGGAAGGGTGTACTAGACGAGACAGGTTCAGGGCTAGGTGGGGTAGGAGCAGGCAGTGGGATAGGGACAGATGAAACATGTGGGATGGGATTAGATTCTCTTGATCTTATTGGAACTACCTGTAAATCAATATCTGTATAATTTTCCCTACTCAAGCTTTCTTTTAACACCAAGTGTTCTAAACAACGTTCATCACAAACCCCACACTTATTACTTGCAGATGTTTTAACCACCAATAATCCACATTCATCCTGCCATTCTGGCTTTCCTTGTAAATAGAAAAACAAATCAACATACGGGACATCATCCCATTTTCCTTCTTGTTTACAAAATTACATTGACTGCAAAACAGTATTATACTGCAGAATACTGTATTTTGGCCATTTTCCACTGTTCTCCAAGACATATTCTGGCCACCATGTAGTACAATAATCAATCAACTTAGCTTTATGTAATTCTTTCCCAAAATTACCCTGTTTCCAATGTGCTAATAAGCACCCCAAAGGAGAAGTTTGCAGAATAGAGGCATTGCTGCCCAAAATTCCTTTTAAGTTTCTCCATTCCAAATATAACACAAATCGCCGAACCCACCACGCTTTCGCAATTGTCTTATGGACGGCGCCTAGGCTTTATACCACCAGGAATTCCTTTAGCCCAACCAAGCGTAGTTTTTGCTGCGTCTTATTGGCAGGCACCCAAAACCAAAGTAAAAAGGACCTTACCTTTCTCGTGGGAATGTTGTGAGTGACGGGAGCAGTCGTGGCCGATGAGCTCGGCGAGAATCCCTCGGTGCCGACTGGAGCATGGTCGAGTCGCGAACTCACTCAGCAGCAATCACAGGGCCCCATCCAGGGTCGCCAAAATGTTAGCGTTCAAAAACACATAATCACATAAGCGATTATATGCAGGTTCTTTTATTAAGAGCTCTGGGAATCGGGGTATATTCAGCCCAAATCTGATTTGACCATACATTTGAGATGAATGGTCTATATTGTTCTATTGTATACATAGATTTCAGCTAAACATAGCCCCCCTTTAAATTTCCAACATAGTATCTCATGATTCTTCTTATGATTATATAATAATTATATTTATACCCCGTCCCTGTCCCAATGGGGAGCAAGACTGGAAGTGGGCCTGTAACGAAAGCTTTGTCGAAACCTGCAACTTTAAAGCTCACCTGGAAAACTAATCATCCTGTGTGGTTCGACCAATGGCCTTTGACGGAGAAAAAGTTGAACATTCTTAATAAACTGGTAGAAGAACAATTACAGCAAGGTCACATCACTCCCATGAACAGTCCCTGGAATTCTCCAGTTTTCGTCATCCACAAGAAGACATCTAATTCCTGGAGGTTGCTACATGACCCGAGGAAAATCAATGAAGTGATTGAAGACATGGGTTCTCTTCAACCTGGACTTCCTTCTTTGCCCATGATCCCGAAGCATTGGCCTCTCGTTATAATTGATTTAAAGGACTGTTTTTTCCATATTCCACTTCACCCTGATGACGCTCCAAGATTTGCTTTTTCAGTTCCCGTCATCAACCGAAGTGAACCCATTCAAAGATACCACTGGAAATCGCTCCCACAAGGAATGAAAAATTCGCCTGTAATTTGTCAACATTTCGTTTCCCAAGCCTTGCATCCTGCCAAAAACATCAAACCATATTGCACTTCAGAATCTGCAGTCAAGCCCAGAACCGAGGAAGCAAGTACGGAGACGTGAACCAAATCGAAGTATCCCGGGTCCCGCCTGACGCCTCTTGTGTCTGTTTTATTTATGAGTATGCCAGTTGAATGCTGAATGTTTAACAGAGCTAATTTTTGGCAAAAACTTAGGTTATTGTTTTTGTGTAGAGAGAATTCTGCCAAAACTTAGTTCATGAAAGAGATGGGACAAATTCAAATAGTATACTTGTTTTGCTTGATTTTAATTGGTTTTTGTCGTGCAGATTTGCCTGTGGATCAACCGAAAATGAATGTTAGGGTGACCTTAACCAAGGCTGCCGGATCGGATACTATATGTCTGTCTAATTCAGAAAAAGCCTTTTTCAACCTGTTTGGTTGGTGTGCCAGTGAAAGAGTTGCCTTTGGTCAAAAAACAATCCAATGGTAGGCCAGGTGGAATTGACAATGGAAACAATCCCTCATTGAATTGGAATGTTTGGTCCAAAGAACTTCTCAGGGCAGCATCTAAACCTCAAGAATTGGAAATCCTTGGTTCCTTGACCATGGATTTTTGTTTTACTTTTATAACTCATGCCTGGCAAAAAGGTGACCCCCCCAAAGTTTAGTGTTACTCCTCATTATTTTGCATATAAAAATTTGAGCTTTTGGTGTAATGTTTCAAACAGTTGGGATGTGTTTCCAGAGACGGATCAATATCCACGGCAATTGCCAAAAGGGTATTGGTTCATTTGCGGAGACAGGGCTTGGCAAGGCATTCCAGCTCACCTTGAAGGTGGCCCTTGTAGCATTGGTATGCTCACCATAATTGCCCCCACTGCCAAAGCAGTGATGAAAAAGAAACAAAGGAGAATGAGAGCTGTTCCTCATTATGATGAGAACTGTCAGAGTGATTTTATGCCTTGGAATGCTGCCAGAAGGGTTTCAGTAGGTATATTTTTACCCCAATTGGGTTCAGCAATGGCATTGAGACAGTTAGATAGAGTTGGATGCTGGCTGAGCAAACAAGCTAATGCCACATCCTCTGCAATCAGTGATATGTTGACTGATGTTGATAGTATTAGACATGCTACTCTTCGAAACAGAGCAGCCATTGATTTTCTTTTACTGGCACAAGGGCATGGTTGTGAGGAATTTGAATTCTGAATCCATTCACAAAAGCATTCAAAAATTAAAGGATCTGACAGCCCAAATTAAAGAAGATGGAGGTTCCTGGTTGGATGATTTGTTTCAAAAATGGAGTTTTGCACCTTGGCTAAGGCAACTTTGCAAGATAGGTCTTTATGTATTGGGTGTTCTAATACTGTTATTTATAGTGGTACCTTGTATACTTTGTATACAGTCCAAGAAGTTTTTGTCATACAAGCAGGAGAGTTAGGAAGTAGAAGTATGGAGAGTGTTCGAAATCTCACGAAAGCAGTAGATGAAGGTATAGACATGAACGAAGGTTTTGAATTAAGACCTTGGAATCGACCAGAGTTTTTCAAACAATAACTTGTGACTATTACCAAACGTGATTCATATCTCTTTCAAGGATTGGGCCTTCACAGCATTAAGTTGCTGTGCTGTAATATAGCAATGCTTTAGTGCAAATAGGTCTCCAACAGATAATAAGCAGAAATTTTGCAATAGAGCTATGAAACGCAAGTAGTAAGCGACAAGAAAATGAAAGCTTCTGGGTCAAACAGAGAGGGGGAATTGTTGGAATCCCTAAAGTTAGAGGGTTTTTAGGAAATGGTTAAAAGGTGTACAGGCCTTAGCCTGAAGTTTTGTTAGCATTGCAGATACAGCAGAAAAGTTTCCCAAGCAGTAGAGCATACGTGACAAATAACAATAGGCCTCTGTAGAATTGGCTTTAGCATGGCAACAAGGTTATTTAATGTATATCTTTAGAAGGTTAGCATGAATAGAGCTCTGTTCTTTGTCCCTTATGAACCAGTCTTTGTTTTAACTACCGTTACGTATGTTTTATAAGATTGAATAGTATGCTTGTCAATATGTCTTGTTTTATGTATGATTGGCTGAAATCTAGACTGAGATGATTTTATGTCCTTCCGTATTACCCCACCTTCAGGGGCATTTCCCTGTGGATCAGCGAGCTGTTAACATCCTGTCTCCATTATAACAATGTTCTGAGACTGATGTGCCAACAATAAAAAAGGCTCTTCCCTGGTCTGGTTTTATCCAGTGTTGTCCATATTTGGACTTTTTGCCGCGGCAAGTGGGTTCCTCTCTTAAGATGTGGGTTCCTGGCACAATTGGACCTCTAGTTACCCTTTATCCCTATAATTACTAAACAATCATCACATCTGAAAATTATATCGTTTATCATACTGCTTACGCAGGTGCAGTGATCTGAGTTAACACAAAGCCTTTTCAGAGTTCTATCTTGAACATTTTCCAGGGCTCCACTATCAGTCTCACCAAGAAATTAATTGCCTAGAGGCATGAACTTACACAGTTTAGTATAGTATGTCAGTAGAGATATATAGTAACTCTTACGAAGTTTAAACCAGTGTATTATTAGCAAAATCTGTGTAGGAAGTGCTTGTGAAAAATTTAAAATACATATAAGTAATCTTCCTAGGATAAAAAACCCTGCATATGGCTAAGGCATAAAAAAAATACTCAACCCAAATTGAAATGCAGTCATGGCCATGTACATTAGAGACACAGTAGCTTATAATAGAAAAGTGGAAAAGAAAATAATTTTCTTTCATAATTTCCTCTTTCTAAATACTGATTATTTCTCTACATTTGGTGCTTTCAGCACCAAATCTCAGTGTTATGGTTTAGTTGAAAAGGTTGTGTTAGGTTATAGGTTTGACTTAATGATCTCAAAGGTCTTTTCCAACCCAGTTAGTTCTATGAATCTGTGAAGCTCTGTCAGCATGTTTATTGCTTTTATTTTATTGCCAAAAAAAACCCCATGAGGTAAGAATTATGTTCCATCTAAAGGAGATTAGTTTTAAAAACGCCTTATGGGAAGATAGGGATGTTTGTTAGGACTATTCATATAGTAAATAGTCTCAGAGGGCACCACTCTGAGACTCCTTAGGTTCTGAATGCCACTTGCACGAGGGTC